GGGAATTTGCATGTTTTTGCCCATTTATCAAATCTGTGCACCATTTTACAAACCAAGCTACAATATAGTGTGTATGTGAATGTATTGTCTTTCTCACCTTCCAGGCAGCCGGTGGCTTCAATTCACCTCTTATAAATTTTTAAAAAAACCCCCAAAAAAAAAAAAAAAAAAAATAAAAAAAAAAAAATATTACTTCCCTTTTTTGGCCCTTCTGCCACCAGCTGGCCAAACTGAAAGTCTATTGGTTTTCAGTATTGAGTGATGCCTCACTACATTTTCTCCTGCAAACAACCTGTTTCACCAGGAAATACGGACATAAATATGCGATTTTATTCTATCTTTATTAAAAAGTTACTCAATGCACAAAACAAACAGACAATATTTTGGAAGACTAAACGTTGTGCTGACAGTTGATTACACAACTCAAGTAAGTTTCCAGATTGATTTTCATATGCTATAAATGAAACCTATGTCTGACGCTCCAGGGACACAGAATGAACCGGCTGAAACCAAATATAGACGGCGGTGGTCAAGCAATATAGTAAATATACATGATTTGAAGTTAAAATAGCAAGTTCACCGTAATTAGCCAATTAGTTTCCAGCTATGCTAATCTTTTTGGTTTTATTTGTGCACAGTGGTGGTGCACTGAATTTGGTTGCATTGCAATTTTGTTTATCAGGTCAGGGCTGCCCAGCCTGGAGCCTTGTCATATTACCCCCTCATTAGAGTGGAAGTGAAATAACATATCAGCATGTAACCCGTTGGAAGCTCAGCACTCTTCCTTCCTCACGCTGGATTCTCTCTGGGCCTGTTTGGAGCCATTTTCCCTGCACTGTATGTTGCAGGAATAAAAATGTATGCATGATTCAACATCTATTCACACACTGGGACAGCATACAGCTTTGTATGTTCACACGTCATTAGGAAGTTGTCTGCAAAACTCTGGTGTGCTAATCCACCGCGCTAATGTACGTCTGTTAAATGTGACGTAACGGCTCTTTATGGAGTCAATTTCAATTAGGCTCCGAGGCTTGTTGGACGAGTCCTTCAACACTTCAACAATTCAGGGATCTTAATGGGATTAATTACACTTTTCTTCATGCCAAAGACCCTTTTCAAAAGGGCAGCGAGACAGACAGGAATGGAGAGATTTGGGTTTTTAATCCTCTGTCCTGCAGTGAAGTGGAGCAGACACACTGTATTATCAGTCAGCGCTCCAGAAGAGAATATCGAACCTTCAGATCAATAGCGTCAGAGTCATTTTACTTGAAGGTTTCAGCAAAGTGTTTCCCAACAAAACAACGCTCAATAAAAGGCTAGGGTCACACACAGGCACACTGTAGTGGACTATGTACACAAACAAGCTCACTTCAAATTTACACATTTGCATAATTGTTCAGAATGCCAGCAATGAAATCCTCTGTGGTAACACGGAGAACTGTCTCCTTCCTCAGGCCAAAGAAAGCATGAAAGAAACAGTGCATAAGCCAAACCCCAACCAGAAGGGAAAACTCCACTAGATAGAAGTGTCAGCAGGGGCCAAATTTAGTCAAGGCAAATGTTACATTCACATTTCCTCTTTAGAAGGGATTATAATAAATGTATGCGTGTCTGTATTCACTCTTCAGGGCCAAACAAAGCATGTGTGATTTTGGCACCTGGCTGCAGAAATTTGCTCCCTTTCTGCTGCAAGAGCATTATTAGTGAGGTCCAGTGCTTGGGTGATGAGGTCTGGCCCGCAGTTAATCCCAAAGGTGTTCTATGAAGTTGAGCCAGCCAAGTCTCACACCAAACAAGGACATGGGGACATTGCAATGAATGGGAAACAGTACGCTCTCAACCTTTTGGCAACAGACTGTATTTGTGCCTTTCCTGTTTCAACATGGCAATGTCCAACAAGGTCTCACTGCAAGTCTTCATACACTGCTACTTAAACATTATTGTGCCTAAACTTAACCAAACTGCAACCGTTTTATAACATTAGGCTTTATTTTAAAAATCAAACTGCACGTTGCCACTGACCAAGCGGCAGTATCTGACTTATTTTGGGGATTGACGGATTTTTGAACATTGTTGTGTTGAAACAAGAAAGGAACAAACACAAACTGTTGGCAAAAAGTTGGAACAAGTTGGATTCACTGAAACTAAGAGGCCAAGACCAAAAGTACACCAAGGTCTGTCCACAAACTTTTGGCAACGTAGTGTATATAAAACTAACTCTGCACATGAATAATACAGTATCAAAGAGATCCCACAAAAATCAACACCTAAAACAACCCTCTGGGACAGTGGTTTTCAAATACAATTTGTTCAAAGAATCCAAAAGCACAATGAAGTCTGTGGATTATCCAGAGCAATGAGGATAACGTTTCTGAAAAGACAAGTTCAAACATTCAAATGTACAAAAATAAAACCAAACTTTATTTGTTGTTATTTCGAAATGATGCCTTAAACCTACCGTATTCTTCACAATGTACTTGCAGCCATTCCCATCTGCAGAGTCTCTTCAATATACAACATATAAAACATATTTAAACTCTACTGCAGCTCTGGATTTACAGAGTCTGATAGAAGTGAAGAAGGCAGACTGTTAGCGGCCTGCGGGGCAGTGGGGCTGTGTTCAGGCAGCCTGGCTGGGTAGGAATTCTGATTTCATATACTCTGGATCAATACACAGCAGGAATCAACCTCAGAGCATCTGAGGCTCTAACAGGCCTGTAGACGTTTGTTGTTCTATAAATAATGTCCCTAAGGAACACATTTGTGCACAAACGTTAGGAAAGAAACCCTCACAAATATAAAACCCGGCTTTATGGGTTGTGCTGAGCTGAAGGCATTGTCTTCTCTGGTGTGATCACTGATCTATACACGACTGCCCAGAATACTTTCACTGCTCATACGTTATTTAACACACATGTAGCACACACAACTGAGTTATATAACTGTGAAGGCTTCCTCTGCAGAGCCCCATTTCTATCTGCCAGCTCTCTGCCCTGCAGCACTTGTATGTGTGTGTGTGGAGAACAGGGAACAAACCTGATTACCTGCCTGTTGTGATGCTGGCAGGGAGCAGGACCCGTCATGGCGGTGATCCTGTGAGTGGAAGACGCTCCTCTGCCTCGCCTTTGAAGGGTAGCTGCAGATGTTAAGGGCCAGATATAATAACTGTGTGTGACGACAGCATTAAGGAACAGTGCTCTGCATCTTGAACAAGCACATGTCCAACATGTCTGAGGAACCTAACGTGTCCTGAATAACATATCCAGTGTGTTCAGTTACTGAATACAAATTATTGCTTCAAAATCAAACATTGAACATTTTGTATTTTATACTGAGAAATAGATGCAGCAACAAAGATTTTTTTTTTTCTCTTTAATCATCTCAAAACATTTTCAATGAAACTAAACTGAATTCTGCACATTCAGCATTTACAGTTGATCAAATCAAATAACACACAATGTCTTCAGTAATTATTTGTTAATGTTTCAGTGTTGAAAACCTTTGTTGTTTTCAGCAGGGTTGTTAGCAGCCCTCTGGCAGTCCCTGGGTTGATATTACATCTTAATATTCTTAGTATTTCCATAGTGATTTCTATCCTAGAAGTCATTTTCATGATTCTAGCTTCACATTCGAGAGGTTAAATGAGAGAAGACACCAGAGAAATACATGATGCAGTCCTTTCTTCTTCTTTTTCAAACACTTTCAGGCTGCAGTTGGAAATTTTTATACAAATATTTTGTAAAATGTTTCTAAAAACTATAAAATGTAGCTGTCAAGATTTCATGTTGGACAAGAGTGTACAGCGATGCTAGCAACTGTTTAGTGGATATAATGTTTAGCATGTTCACTATCTTAGTAGGTGTGTTAATAGAAAGAGCCCTAACCCTGGAGCCATGACTTTAAACAACAATTAGCATTTCGTATAGAGAGAGATAGATGTAGATACAATAATAGAGTATGTGAATGGATAAAATGAAACTTGAGGCTCTGATGGTGTGATTTGGTGTCTCTGTGTGTGACTGTGAGACTCTGGGGCCCTGGCAGAAGTGCAGTGTGGCCGGCTCAGGCTGGGACTTTAGTTTCCTACAAAGCTCTAAGCCATTTACTTGACAGCTAACCTTGAGCGAGGAAGCCAAACATGCTTCATTGAAATAACGATGGCTGGCAAGAGAAAGAACTAAGTGAAAGTACACATTATCTGTCTCCTTGCCTCAAATGTATGTAAAAATAACAGCTCTCTGTGAAGTGGCTGTACGATAGCTGTCACCGGTTATTTCTGAAATCTTGCAGCACTAATGGATTCAGGAATGACTTGTAGAACTCACACAACAGTTTCCAGTGCAGAAATATCACTGATAAACTTTTGAAGCGGCGTGCCAAGGCTGGCCTGCAGTTCAACCCCCACTAAAGGGTGGCTGTCCTCCAGTTCAACCCAATCAGCAGGCCTAAATGCGGGTCTTGTCCCAGTACATCTGGAGCGATGTGTCCTGTCTGCAGCAGCAGGAGCCAAGGCTTTGACGGAGAATGGCTCCACCGGGGAGAGCCAGACAGGTGCAAGGCCACTGGTGGCTACATCCTTCCCGTATATAAGAGACGGAGAGAGGGGGAGGGTCAGCTGTACCAGGAAACCTTGAATCTGGTGAGTAGTGCTGGACAGGATATGTTGGTAGATGGGATGGACCTGGTGACTGGTCTGTAACTGCTAATGATTTCCTATATTTTTCAGTGTCTTCGATTGATGTTAGACCCTCTTTTCTCTTGCCGTCATGGTGCTAATGTTAATGTGGTTCCAGTTCTCTGCAGAACTCGTAGACTGAGGGCAGAATGGTCTTGTATGATCTATAGTGTGCCTTTATAACCTCCAGCCAATGAGAAAAAGCACAAATTCATCCTGATAAGAGAGTTCTTGAAGTGCAAATGATGGTGTGATATTGGAGGGGAGAGTAGAGTAGAAGAGGAATGATGAAACAACCAGCGGATGTGCAGCAATACTCTGCTTTATGTTTCCCCCTCTGCTCCATCCTGCATGCTGTTTGCTCAACTAATTCACTACAATCTGTACATGCTAATGCTAACCTGCAGTCCCTCAAAACCCCCATTACTGGACTCACATACTGGCATGACGTGTCCTCTGAGATCAGCGCTGACAGACATTATTAAGACGGCGACCCAAAATATCCGTGACCTACCCCAGCGTGAGTAACCCAGCTCTGACTAACAGACACTTAACTGAGTAATTAAGGTTGTATTGATTTGGAGAGGGGCAACGTTTGGTGATGATTAACACGCCTCTGAGTCTGCCAAGAAATGAAAAAAAAGAACAGCAGACGCTTGTTGGAGATTCAGTCGAAATGAAGAGGTAGATATAGGAGACACACACGCGCACGCACACACACACATACACACACGCGCACACACACCCCTCTCTTCTTTTTTTTGGGGGGTTGTTGGGGTTGGTGGGGGGGGGGGGGGGGGGGGGGGGGGGGGGAAATGCCAGTTGAATGTTAGATGGAGAAGGAAGTACTCAGCTTCATTCAAGCCGATGTATCTCGTGTTTGTGTTTGAACTGATCTCAGGTCAGCTGGAAAAGAAAAAATAGGAGGACAAAAGAGTCTTTAAGAGTTTTATTCATACTGCCCAAGAAAATCAACAATCTGAGAAGGCTTTACGATCTGTACAACATATCACAGCCTCTATTGTTTGACCTTTGATTCAGAGAAAGTAAAGGGGGAGAGAGATTAGGAATAAAAGAAGGAAAGAACAAAATAAAAGGTGGGAAACAAATAAAAGAAGGAAACCAGAATAAAAGAATTGAAGAAAGAAGGGAAAATAAAGCAGAGGAAAGTAAATAAATTCACTTCATTCAGCAGTTGCCAGGCAACCACTGCTCTCATAACCTCTCCATTAAACTCTGAGTTGTTATTTACAACTGACAGGACTCTTGATGCTAAGCTAGGCTAACCCGCTGCTGGCAGTGGCCTTGTGTTAATAAGAGCATCAACTGACTCTCTGCTAGAAACAGTTCCCAACTATTTTTTTAATATTAATAATGCATTAATGTAAATGATGGAAAGTGACTTGTAGACTTGTAGATAAATGTATGGGTGTAAAAAAGATTTCCTGTTGAAGTTTAGTTTGAGAAAATGTGAATATTAAATGTATCAGTTATTAAAATTGTACAAAGCTACAGAAATGAAAGATCACCTCCAAAAAAGAGAAATAATGTCTATGTTTGTTCCACAATAACATAATAAGTGTAATTTCAACTTTAAAATCCATAAAAAAGCATCTTCTCCTTCTGCCTCAACACATCTATGAATATATACAATATAATAGACGTCTCCTCCTTCACTGTAAAGTCCATTCTCAGTGTCTGTGCACTGCTGGATCTCACTGGACAAGTTGGACTGCACCAGGACTGACCTCCAAACTATTTGTGATGTCTCCCTTAAAATCAGATGTTCAATGAGAAACTTTCCACTTTCAGCAGATGAATGTGAGAACATCCTCCTAGTGTCAGACACCATTCAAACATCACACTGCAGGGACAAGAAGAAACTCTGATATCTGAGTGGAGGGGGGCTTTAATTAATCTTGTTTGTTTTATTGAACTGTTGAAGTTGAGTTTATCCCCGTCCTGACCTCCAGAACCCCGCTGTACAACATGGAGGGGGACTTTCGGCCGCAGGTGAAGAAGGTGGCGGTGGCCATGGGTGCTTCGCTCACAGACCAGGACATCGACCACATGCCACGGGGGCTGACAACACATGGTGACACTCTGTGTGTGTGCGTGTGTGTGTGTGCAGTCATTAATTTAAAGTGGCAGGTGTGATGAATGAGGAGGCGTTCACGTGTGAGTCATGACGATGATTTCACTGTCTGATGTCATCTTTTGTGATTGTCTGCAGAGAACTTCAACTACAGCCGGTTTCTGGAGCACATGAGGCAGTTCAAGACCTCCGAGCAACGAGAGGAGGCCATCAAGAAGGCCTTCACGATGCTCGACAGAGACGGCAGCGGCTACATAGAGTGGAACGAGATCAAGTATGAGCCCTATATTTGTTTAAAGCAGGGTTTCTCAAATGGGGGTATGCGTACCCCTAGGGGTACTTTAGGGTACCGCAGAGGGAACTTGACTTTAAAAATGTTAATTAAAAATATCGGTCATGCATAATTCCTAAAACAATAAATCAAAAATGTAAATACAGGTTCAATAAAAACCACATTTTATATTCAATAATCCTATTTTCATTGCAAACGTCTCACTAAATGCAACTTCAAATGCACAACAAATCCAATTAAAGGGTCAACATTTTAATTTAATAGTCCAAAAACAGCAGTCACTGAATAACAAACTTTACTTAAACAGGAGGAAATAGGGATTTTGTTGGGGACTATTTTAAGCTGTGAATTAGGCTGCAGTAACACACTATTGTATGTGGGCTTTACTACAGTGTGTGTGTTCATGGTACTGAAGGAACATCTCACCCAGTGCAACAGTGTGGGTGAGGTGTTTCTAACAGTTTCTGGACAACAATGGAGCTCTATGGCACAGAGGAAGAAGATGTATCAGAGTCTGATACACACACAGTGCTTGTTCGTGGATAAACTCACCGTTGGTTTGATTATTAGTCAATGACAAAGATATGTCCACCCTTTCCCTTAAATGTCTGTTTCTACCAAACAAACAGCTGCCAGGGCTCCTCCTGCCTCTGGAAACTCCTTATTTTTAAGATTCAGTCATTAATTCGTGACATAGAGTCAAAAATCCAACCAAAGACAAGTAACAGAAAGAGCTGATAGAGATTTCTCTCCTCACAGGTACATTCTGTCGACTGTACCGACTGCAACCCCGTCGGCTCCTCTCTCCGACGAGGAGGCCGAGGCAATGATCCAGGCTGTCGACACTGATGGAGACGGACGCATCGACTACACAGGTTAAGCCCTTTATTTTACATTTGACTCTCTCTGCTGCACTGGCCTACAGTCACCACTAAGGGTCAGCAGTTAGTAGCTCTTCAAGGAGAAAAAATGGTCACTCACTCCAGGCTGAATGAAAACATGTCAGCTGATATTTAAAAGACTGCAATAACCCTGTACGCTCGGAGGATCTGTGATCATAATGTCAACACACTGCAGCTGGTTTGGAGTTATTGAAATAGAGCATACTTCTTATCACAGAGAGCAAGAAGCCAAAATTGACTTTGGAGAATCCAGCGTTGTTAAGACCCTAATGCAGCCCCTAACCCAGCGGTCCCCAAAACTAGGGGTCGCCAAAGCTTTATGGGGGGTTCGAGGCTGCCTTGATCTTAAAGCGTGCTAGAAAACTTAAACTTATACACAGTGGGCCTATAGCTCAGTATTTAGTTCACTTCTGAGAAGAAAAGTAAATGTAATGTAAACTGTCTAATAGCAGTCTCTATGATTGTTAAAAAATGATGAATTGATGAAGTTCCCTCCACAGGAAATAATCTGCTCAGAATGAATACAAATGTCTGGTTTTACACAAACTTCCTGCAGTTACTGAGTTCACTGTTTGAGTTCATTGTAAAGTTTTTAATATAATATGAAATATCCATAAAATATGTCACTGAGTCAGTTTACTGAATGATAGAAAATGGGCCCCTTAAGGAAAAAGGTTGGGAACCAGTGTCCGACCAATAACACTCACATCTGGCTCTGTGTCTCTCTCTACGTCTCAGAGTTCTCAGACATGGTGAAGATGGAGAAGAAACCGAGGAAATAGAGGACACGTGATCAATCTGAGTCTCACAGCAGAGTGAAAGACAGGAGGAGAGGAAGTCGGACACACACACACCAGATCTGCCCTCCCTAAAGAGCGCTCTCCCTCCTCTGTTATCATTCGCTAAAAAAAGGGAAAAAAACAGGATTGGGGAAACGTGGGTTTGTTCAAGTCGTTAAAAACATGTTTATGACTTACTGCCTTGTGTCCTAAACTACGGACAGTCTGTCTGCTAGCTTTGGGTCACCTGACATCTATCACTGTGGGTGGGACTCCCCAGGAATGGGTGATTGTCATGTGTGAGACTTTACTGGGTATATATGTTGAACTGTTTGCCTGTGGACACAAATAAAAAAGAGACTAGGTTACATAAGCTAATTAATTGGATTTGGCACTCTAATAAACACCACATTACACATCTCCAGGAACCTTCCTAGGACTTCCTAAACTAAAGGATTACTCATGTTGATAAATCTGTTTATGTTGGTTTTTAAAATAAAGGTATATATACAGGTCTCCCTTTCTAACTATTACACTTTTGGAAAACACAATCCATAATTTCTGATGACTGGATCACTTAGTTTGAATATGTATTGATTAGACAGATATATAGAACAGATATATTCCTCGATGTGCAGTGTCTTGGGTTTCTTTTTGTTCCCTCCATCACAGACCTACAGTATGTTGTCAGTGGTGTTAATACAATAAAGGTTTATTGGGTTTTTTGAAAACACTTTTTCTTCCCTCATTTACAAACACTGATAAAGAAATCATTTCAAAAAACTTTGTTTCAATAACTTGAAATGTCTCTGAAAACTCTTTTATACAATATCTTGAGACGTAAACGTTGTTGATGTCTTTTTGATACTTGCTTTGTTTCAAGATTGAATACTTAAATGTGTTACACATTAGGGATTCGCCTCAGTGTGCTCATGAGAGAACAGCAACCGCAGCCCAACAGTCCAAACACAGTAAGAAAGTAGAAAAAGCCCACTCCATAAAACCTTACACACATCTGTGGATGCAGGAGATCCAGTGTTCTACGTTGTAGTGATGACCCGCTTGTTGGTTACAAGCAATGCAGTGTACATTTAAAAAGTCTTTACACATATTTCTGGAGCCACTCATTGTTTCTGTACTGCTGCACTTGTTTTGTTTTTCAGTCTCTCCAGGAAGTTGCAATCACAACAACACAAATTCAACCAATCCCTGTGAATTCTGAGTGACCTCGCAATTTTGTCCAATCACCGTAGTTTCACCAATCAACCACAGCGTAAAATGTTGAGCCAGTAGCAATTTTATTCTCACTGGAACAAGGTGCAATTTTCATTTTCTGCCACAATTTCATTGCACAGAAATGATTAAAACGTCTCAAGAATAGCATTTTCTTTTCTTCTGCTAAATCCTGGAGCGATTTGTTTTTTTTTTACTTGAGGAAAAAAAGTGTAGAAAACAAGTGCCTTTTGTTTTTTTGCCTCAGCCCTTTTAAACACAGAAAAACATTCATTTTATTTTGCAGGTATTAAAAATGTCTTGAAGATTTCATATCTCCATGTTATCAACATACAGCTGATCTCCAACCACCAGGGCCCCCAGGAGGACACCAGGAGACGAGGCGCACGTGTGGTTTTCTTGAGATACTGAGTAGTGGTTGAAATGAGGTGGGCATTAACCTTTTTTTTAGAAATATTTACCTACAGAAATAAGTACGCAACAGAGGAAGGTTTGTTTTTAACACAACCTGTTACGCACATTGCATTTCCAGCTCTATATTCTTAGTCTGAGCAAAAACATCCTTATTTATCATATACTGGCTCTCCGTGCTGAGTTCATTCTCGCCGTCACTTTAAGCCACCGCCCGGATCCTGCTGAGGAGCTGAACATAATGCATCCATGGGCAGCATTGTCTAACGTTACAGCCAGGGGCGGACAGGCCATCTGTGTGACCTGGACAATCACAGAACGGCCGGTACTCCAGGACGGCCGGCGGCCCACCACCCGCCACGCAGTCATCACGTTTTTTTCCCCCTGCTAATCTACTGCTTCACACTCCAGTACGGTAGGAGGCAGCAATGCACCTTTAAGTTGGATGCCAGCTGCCCCGGCCGTGCCCGCCAATTAAGGAGAAGAAGAAGATGAAGTAGCAGCAGCAAAGACGTTCAAGACCATAGAAACAATATGGATAACGCCGGTAAAAAACGGAAAGGGCGGGGCTGAGAAGGCGAGGGGGGGAAAAATGCGACATTTAGAGAGTGAAGCCACTAAACGTGAGATGAGCTGGTTCCACAGACAGATACAGGGCACGTAAGTATGGAACATGAGAGCGGATGGGCTGATGTTAGGAAATGTTATTCAGGTTGCTACATTTTTATCTACCCAGGTTGTGTTGCTCAGTACAATGCAAAAATTAAAATGAAATAATGATTATAGTAGTTAAAAACAGCTAAACTTAAACATTTTAGCTGTAAAATGCCACATGCAGTGATAGCTAATGTTAAGAAATATGTTGTGCTTTTACTTTTTAAAGTTTTGGTAAGGTTACAGTTAATGCTTACAAACTCTGAAGACTTTGAATACAGAAGTTAAATTTGTAATGGTGTATTTTCATTAAAATGTGGTATTATTATTTGTGCGGTAAGATTCATTACTGCATAAATTAATTAAGATTATTAAGTAATAAATTCATTTTAAGATAGCATGGAATAGATTATTATTTTAATTCATTAATTTATTTTTAATATTAATATATTATTGTGACACTCATGCCAGGCGTTATTGTTGGGTTTCCGCTGGCGGACTGCTTTGGGCCGGGCCTAGTCAAAGTCCAGGGCCGTTTTTTAGTCCCAGTCCGTCCCTGGTTACAGCTCTAGTGTTACATCTGAGAGCTTCGGACCGCCGGGAGTGCAGGTGCCTCGCGCTCAAAGTCCGTTAACAGCAGTTACCAAACTCAAAGCAGAGAGTTCAATTCCACGTAACTTACAGGAGACTCCTTATATTCAACCTCTTCCAACCATTTCCAGTCTTCAGTTTCAGGTCACAATCTGAAAGGTTCTTGCCAAACAGAGTGTGACACCTTGTCATCAGTGTTTGGTTGCGAATGATTATCTGGATCCAGGTTCCTGACAGGTTCTGATCCTCCACAGTCCTCTCCATCAGCCTGTTTTTATCTGCCGTGCTGAGCTGCTGGCTGGAGGCTCTGTCTCTCTGTTGTCCTCAGTTTGGCTTTGATGACACCGGGAAGACTCATGTTCACAGGCACAGTGGGAACCTGCCTGGAGCACAGCAGCAGCTATTCACGTCATCTGGAAAAAGATGTTGGAAACGTTGCAGAGTCCGAATTCTGAGCTTTTTGCTCACAGGAATTACTTCTATGGCCAAAATCCACCGGGCGCGGCCTAGAAGCGTCCGCTCCGCTCTGCAGAGAATGCGCTACTGGTCTATTTTCGACGGAAGCCGCGCCCCGACCGCATCAGGCAGCACAGAGCAGATCGCTTTAGCAGGAAGTCAGGCACAGAAACGGCATAGAAAATCTGAACAATTTTCAAAATAAAATACCTCGTGCAGACTCTCGATCAAATTGCATCGACACTGTGGCACCAGGCCGGAAGTCAGTGAGTCAGTCAGTCAGAGGAGATTTGACACCATGGACGACGAGAAGTTCACGTTGGAAGTGGAGGAACACATCGTATGGTGTCCTTTGTAGGACAAAATACACAAGTCAAGAACGTCGGGCAGGCAAGGCCCTCTGTGGGATTTAAAGACGAGAGGATCACAGAGCTACCAGCCGTGCCCGGTGGTACTTCGGGTTTACATATTTCCCATTATTTGACACTTTTTTTATGTTTAAGATGAAGACCTAACCCCGTAACATTGTAAGACAGAAGCTAATAAATCACCTTTAAAATAAACACAAAAGACAAAAACTAAATACATAAAAAACAATAAGAGGAAAAAAGTGCTGTGGTTGACCACATGTAATCAGTCTTTCACAAGGAACCCTAGAACAGATTTTACCTCGAGTGGACATTCATGTGTAGCTTCAGATGTACCTGCTGGTTAAACCTTTTGTCACAAACATCACAGCCATACGGTTTCTCTCCTGTGTGGATTTTCATGTGTGTCTTAAGATGTGACTGCTGGTTAAACCTTTTCCCACAGTTATCACAACCAAATGGTTTCTCCCCTGTGTGGATTTTCATGTGAGTCTTAAGATTTGTCTTCTGGTTAAAGCTTTTACCGCACACGCCGCAGCCAAATGGTTTCTCTCCTGTGTGGACTCTAATGTGTGCCTTCAGATTCTGCTGCTCTGTAAATCTTTTCCCACAAACATCACAGCCAAAGGGTTTCTCTCCGGTGTGGACTCTCATGTGTGCCTTCACCTTTACTAGTTCTATAAATGTTTTCCCACAAACATCACAACCAAACGGTTTCTTTCCCGTGTGGTTTCTCATGTGTCTCGTAAGCTTTGACTGGTGGCCAAAATCTTTCCTACAAAGATCACAGCCAAATGGTTTCTCTCCTTTGTGGCCCTTTTGTTGCACTTCACATGTTTCGTCAGAAGACTCTTTTCCTAAAGGACAGACGTTGCCACATTCAAGACAACTAAAGGAATTGTTTCCATCGTTAGATTCCACATCACTTACAGGGGCTTCCTCGTGTTTCCATGATTTTACACCTGACTTAGATGCCCTGGTGTTCTTCGAATCACTGTCACTGTTTTCAGTCTCAGATCCAGAATCTGACAAAGGTTCTTGCCAACCACCATCACTGACATCAGTCTCTGAAGAGTCTGAAGACGTTTCATCAGTGTGTGTTTGTGGATCATCATCTGGATCTACGGTCCTGGCAGGTTCTGATATTCCACACTCCCCTCCATCAGTTTCTGCTTTTATCTCTGTTGCTGAGCTGCTGTCAGGAGGCTCGGCTTTTATGTTGTCCCCAGTTTGATGAAGCTGTGAAGACCACGGTTCATCTTCATCATTTTCACTCTTCACAGAAACACCAGGTAATGGGAAACTGGAGTTGTTAGCCTCCCCCAACCCATTAATCTGCTCTCCCTCCAGACTGATCCCGAGTTCCTCCTGTTCCTCTTTTATGTGTAGAGGCTCTGGGTCCAGGCGGGGGCTCAAGTCAGGAGACTTCTTTTCACCAATCAACACCTGCTGGACATCTCCAGGTAACACTGAAAAACACACAAGAACATTAATAATCAATAACAGTGCTCCATTATGTTTTTATGCGTTATTCAGCTTTATTGCTGAATGAAGGATTGGATTTGATTTTAAAAAGGACTAAACAAAAATTGTTGAAATGGCCTGGATCATGCAGACGCTGCAGCCAGCTCTCTTTCAAACGTAACAGTTTGTCTTTTAGTCCGTGACCTACACTACTTTATAGTTTTTATACAGTTTTGATAAACTACTGCTATTTCACCAAGAGTGTAAGTTAACATGCTACAGTAAAGACAAACCTATATTTTACTTACTGAACCGTCTGGGGTCATTAGGTTGAAGATTCCACCTTCTGGACATTCCCACTCCACTTGTGATTCTCCTCCTCACAATCCTTGCTTGCAGCTCGGAGATGTAGCCATAGGTTTTTTCAGATTTCAGAGTGTACACGCTGTATCTTCTGCCATTTTTCTTGTACAGCCTTCTGAAACTTTAATTACAAAAATTTCAAACATTCAATAAAAGTTATTCATTATAACAACTGACAACCTTGAGTGAACAACAAAATTAAATTGTACCTGCATACAAAGCAATGATTGTAAAAAAAAAAAAGAAGAATGTTTCAAATGTAAAACATACATCTCGTTGCCTTCCGCTGTTGTCATTGTCGGTCGGTTGCGGTGGAAATTATAGTCCAGAGCAGCAAGCAGAACTCTCGTCTCATAAACTGCAGGACTGAAAGTGTAGTGCTTGCTAGCATACATCAGAATATGATTCTGGAACACCTCAAGGTCTGCAGTCGATCTGATTAAACAAAAAAATACATATAACTCTTGAAATAGGCACAAATAGTCATATTGTAAATCTGTGTGAAACATGTAGCCACACCTCACCTGAAGCGCAGATATTTATGTATATCCTTCAGCCAATGCTTGTTGAGAACGATGTCCACTAAAGCTTTGTGGCACTTGGAGTCTCTCTGGATCCACATCTTTCCACGTGTTTCTTCCATGTGCTCATGTTGGCACCTTCCCATAGCCCAGGTGTGAATGTCACAGACATGGTGAATGATGCCAACCCATAGTTCCTGCAAAAACAGAAGCAGCACTTTAAAAAATATCCTTCATATGGAAACTAATGGACTCTAGACTGGTGACGATGTTGTAATCACACCGGCTGTAACGCCTGTCAATATGACCACATCCATCTTTAAACTCAACCTTCATTTTGATCTCAATTACACACCTGTGCAGTCTTGTGACAGCATCCTGTGACACTGTAACTAAATCTGTCCACAGAAACAAACACCTGCTGGTAGTTCCCTGTACAATAGGTGTCTCCAGGACCACATTGTGCAACACACGCTATAGCAGATGACATTTTTATATTATAAAAATATATAGAAATAATGTGCTTACAAGAAACTGCTGGGTACCGTCAGCTGTTTTACAACACCACCAAAAATGGTTAACGACGTCTTTCAGCCAGAGCCAGAGAGTGGGCTGTCCTTCTTTCTTTGCCGCCTTGTGGAGGGAAATAAAACATAGATAATAATGTAAGACAAGGCTATTCAACTGTTTCCCAAAGAGGGCTGAGAGTATGCAGATTTCCATCCCTACCAAAGAGTAAACCAGATGATTTCACTGACTAAAGCTGTAATATGTAACATTTCCACATTAAAATGCCTATAAACACTAGACCTGTTCTATATGTAGTTGAGTTGTGTACTTACATTTTCTCTACTGTTGTTGTGGTTCTCTGCCAGAAGTTATACATTTATTTTTTATCCAGTGTTAAGCCACATTTTTACTTTTTAGATCTATAATTTTTCACTCTATATTTGAACCGGATGAAGGATTTTAGTCATCGGACGTCTGGATCTTAAGTTATCAGTGAAACGAGCTGAGCTAACGTTAGCAGCAGCTCGGTTTGCGACCCCTCCGGGACGTCCTTTGTTTATCAAACAGCGTCGGACAAACTGCTGCAATGACAGCAATGGTGGTGAAGACAACTCCCATGATGCCATGCTACTTCACAACATCCTCAAACTGTCTTTTGTTATTTCTTTTGATGTGTAATGGCAGAAATTAAACGTTCAACACACCTTTACCAGAGAGCAGGAGCTCATCAGTGAATTCACCTTTTGTTGTCTTTGATTGGAATGAAAACGTAAGTGCTCTCAGCCTTCAGTGGCACATTGTTAAATAACCCTGATGTAATATATAGTCACTTTATGATGAACAAATGAGCAATAACATAAGACACTTATTAAACTTACAGCAGCTATTTTTTTGGCCAGGTTTTTGGCACCGTGCCACATGTCCAGACTGTGATGAATACCAAGGGCCTTGTATCTGCCTTCGTCTGGGTCTGTGAAGAGGGGAATCTTTTAATATTACCACATTATTTCACCTTTTCAGCACATGAATTCATACATTACATCAGGTGAGTACTTACTCATAAGGGCTCCGATCTGGGCATGAGCGTCTGTGCAGATCTCTGCTAGGCTAATTTCTGATGTGAGCTTGTCCACAGTCTGGATAAAACCCTCCTTCTCCATAACGACAGACTTCCAGGACGGCTGCCGCTTTTCTATGGTGGCAACATGAATTATCTCCTTGGTGTCATTCTCCATGCTGGTGTAGCTGCAGTACTGTGCACAATGGCCCGGCGAGTCGTTCATACCACCCGCTGAAAAACAGAAATTACAACTCAATCTGAATTAGCTGCTGACATACAATCACACTGCCACTGCCTAATGTCTTACATTAAATGGTTAAGTTTAAAGATCCCCTCCAAACATGTATTACTACATTAATATAAATAGTCTGCTTGGAAGAATAATGTTTTGTCTGTTTAATTCCACATTAAAATCCTCAAAACCTACAACACACCTACAAGAAGAAAAAACAGATTTGTGAGTTGAGGGGAACTTTAAGCTACGCACCTAGGACCACAACACGTTTCCCTTGAAGGCGACTGAGGGCCTCCGTCCTCCTCTCTTCCCAGAAGTCCTTTACCGTGCCGACACAGTAATTGTTCTGAATGGAGCAGAAGGTGTTCTTGTTCACCATCCCCATGTTCATGAATTTGAACAAGAGGGCAACCTTTGTATAGTTGCTGCCAGACAACAAAATGTTGGTGGACAAAAGAAAATCTCCAGCTTGAACCCCGGCCTTCATGACAGGCTGGGAATTCCACCTCCACAAGCGGTGTCCATTGGGACAGATCTAAAAGTCAAACACAAGTAATAATTGCATTTGGCATGTCCAGCACTAGCTTTCACTAGACTATGATACACTGTGACTGTCGAGACTTACCCATTCCACATTAGTTGCTGTGCCCTTGGAAGAGATGCTGATCTTGAAGGGGGCAACGCAGTCGCACATGGCACCGGTTCTCAAAACGCCCGTACATTTATCAACAGGCAGGATCAGAAATGAAGCCAATTGTCTTAAACACTCCTCATAGACGATTGAAGCTTTGGCACCTATGATGTCATCTTCAGAGCGGACATGCTTTCGGCGTGGGAACATTGGGTCTTGATTGTCAGGCTCATCGCGAGGGTCTTCATGTGCAGGCTGGTCATGCACAGTCTCACCAATCCCAATAACTGGAAGTCGATCAATGGGTGGTGCTTTCTTTAACTCTCCACCCATTCTGTTGAGGCACAGCATGAAGGCGCGAGTAAAAATCAGACAACACACGACAGTAGCAGAGTAAAGACTGACCGATAACACACCGTATGCAGACTGATGGAAGACACTCTTCATCCGAGCTGTCCTCATCCTCCTCCTCTCCATCTTGCTGAAAGTAACGGGAGCCGTCATTTGCCCAATCAATTCTGTAAAGAAAGACATTCAGAAAACAGCAACTTCTCAATGGGAATATAATATTATAGAAATGTTATTAGGAAGTACTACTTACACACTGTTAATGGGGTCATTGAAAACATTTTCCTCCATGTCCTCCTCATCAATCATGCTTGTGTCCTGTAATCTGTAGAAATAAAAACAGCATGAATCCACAACAATCAGCTAAAATATGAGCACTGATTATCTGGCTATCAGGGCTCCTGACAGTGGGGGGAAATATCAGGCAGCAAGTGAACATCATGTCCTCAAAGTTGATTTGTTAGAAGCAGAAAAATGGGCAGCGTGAAGATTTCAGTGACTTAGACTAGATGACTGGGTCAGAGCATCTCTCTCCGCTCTGCTGGTTGATGCTCAAACTGCAGCGAAATGGGTCAAATCCTGGAACTGTGGTTTCTTATTTTTCTGCACAGTGCAGACAAACACGAGGCTAGGTTGCAAGATGTGGATAAATTGGGCATCATGTCGAAAAAATAAACTTAAAAGTGTATTTCAGTCATCTTCCTCTCCATCATCATTCTTATGGAAGTAAAGTCAAATAAATTCTTTAAACAAAGAGAAGAGTAAATGTCATTAGGAGGTACTACTTACACACTGTTAATGGGGTCCTCGAAAACATTTTCCTCCGTGTCCTCCTCGTCCATGCTTGTGTCCTGTAAACTGTAAAAACAAAAATATTACACATAAAATAATTAAAATAATATACATAAAAAAATATATGTATATATTTAACTGTTACCTTTGTTCAAAGCCTGAGAACTCTGTAGCTTCAGTAAAGGCATTCAGGTGATCGTCTCTGTGAAGAACAAACAAACAAACAGTAAACATAAACATATTTACAGCAACTTATTGTTTGTAAACATATTCGGACTCCACATTATTTAAATGCAATGACTCACCTGTCCATGCAACCTGACGCACCCATGCTTGACACTGCTGGAGCTGCTACTTTAAGACGATTATCCTTAATGTGAGCTGATGCTGTGAGACTTCTCTCATAGCTGGAGAAACAACAACAACAACAACAACAACATCATCATCAAGTAAAAAAGTGCTGTGACACAGTCATGTAATACATTCTGTTACATCCTACGATGCTGGGAGGGTTGGCTCACCTGGACAGAAATACATCAGATAAACTGAAAGGTTGATCTTGGGATCTTATCACTGTGTAATCTGTAATCTGTAATCTGTGTATTTAAAACAGCTGGACCTATCTGTGAACACTGGGGATGCAATCCTTCCAGACGGAGGCAGAATCACAAACGTCTACCAACACAGAAGAACACGTTGAAGTTGCACATATTTTCAATTCAATTCATTTTTACTCATTTTGAATTTTATGAACTCCAAACAACTCGTCCGACGTGTTTTCACATGTTGGAAAACGTCCATTTGGTTCGGGCGAGGTGCTGGCAGGAGGAAGAGGAGGAGGAGGAGGAAGAGGAGGAAGAAGACTCATCTGTAATGACCCATAATGATCACAAACTGTGACAGAAATGGACGCGCTGAGGTTTGATAACTATGAGCCGGACAAACAGACTGTGAGGATATCTGACGTCACATGACAGATGACGAAGATGACTCATATATTGATTGGCAGACGGACTATATCAAAACAAAATGATCGAATAAAGAGCGTTAATGAAATAGACAGATATGTTGAGTTGTTTCTTTTTTTACACTGTTGTTGTTTGTACTGTTGTAATGTGTATTGAAGTAGATTTATTGATTTGTTTTTGTCCGTGGTATCCGAGACAACCCTCACTGCAGAACATTTACTGACTCCCGCCCTGCGTTCGTGAATCCAACTGGATTTACAGCCCGTCTTTGGACTGGTTCTGGGCTGCTGCACAAACATGGCGGCTCAAAATGGCGGTCGCCTCGGAAGGAGACCCCGCCGGCGTCTGTAGATAAAAACGGCTCATTGTAAGATAAAGAAAACACAGAGGCTATTACTTCCAGGTGACTGTACACCAGTGGAATCAAACCTACGACTGCACAGTGTATATGAGCCAGGACACGCTGACTTTACCTGTACAGAAGAAAACAGGCAACATCGGCGTCATTCTGAAAACACTTTTCCCTCATCAGCGACTTCCACCTGGGAAAGGCCACACCAATGTTGACCCTTGTTTTTTGCCGTCGCCTGTCCCGGTTTCGTTTCACTTCGTCTTGTTTTCGCTTCTTTGGCGACGAGCACTCGCGCTCGCTGACTTTCTGTTGAGCTAAACAATACGTATGGTCCCCCATTTGTCAAACTTGTGGTTGGGGGTGAAAGTTCTCGCCCCGGTGGACAGTTAGCCCGCAGCTCCCGCAGCTCCCGCACACACGATCCGCTGCATCGCCGCAAACTCCCTCTTCTTCCTTCGTCTTCTTCTACGGATTGTATGGCGGTTGGCAAACAGCGTTGAGGCGCATATCCGCCACCAAGCGGTCAGGAGTGGTGGTGCTGCATTACCTCATTCTGATCATTAAATTAACTTTTATTGTTTATAAAGTTGTTTTTATTTTATTTTATGTTCCAGGCAGATCACTGACCGCTTTTCTTTTAAGTGTTCATTACGTGATGTTATTAAAGGACATTAAAAAACAAATTTTGCTTTGGTGTGATGTTATAGCCTTAGTTTTTAGCTTTTAATCATTGGTTCGTACATTATTTGTCTCCCTGGTGTTATTTTATTTTTTATTGATTTATTTTTAGCCTTTGAAATTTTTATTTATTGTTCTAGATATTATAATATATAGTTTTTATGTGCACATTTTTGGTAAAGGTGCTATATAAATAAAGTTAAGTTTGATTATATAGCTGTATTCTTAAACAAATTCTTCTAAGCTATTGAAACAAAAACTAAAGTTCACATAAATCATAGCTCAACTTTCTTTCTTTAAGATTCAGTATCAGTTCCCTTCTCTCAGTCTCCACATCCTATTTCTGTCAGTAAAACATAACAGCTTCATGTAGGACTGTGTTTTCCTTTTTTAAATTGTTAATAAGGATCATTAACTTATATATTAATGAATAGGAACCAGTGGGCTTGATCTGAGTGCTGCAGACAGGAGAGGAATGATGACTTTGGTCTTTTCATTTTTGTTGAGATTAAATAAAATCTATAATTACACCAGCCTTAAATTCAGACTATTCCAGTCATATATATGATTTAAGCTATTAAAAATGAATAAATTCACAGGAAGCTTCCCTCTCTGATGAGGAGGAAGAGGCCACAATCAAAGCTGACTGTATATACTGAGAGAGGTGCTCTCTCTGGTGCACTGACCTGTTATCACCACTAGGGGTCAGCAGTTAGTCTCCAAACCGCAGCAGGTTTTACAAAAATGGATCTTATCTTTGATTTAAAAGATATCACTGATGAAATAAGTGATAACATAAAATATCTAATCATCACATCACAAAATGGTTTATAGTAAGTTCTACTTCACTTTTCATTTGCCAGTGAGGTACGGTGCTCCCCATAATGAATACGATAAATATATGTATAAAAAATAATGGATTATTGTGACTTATGTGGGCTAGGAGGACCTGATCTTGTCACAGATTATCTGTTTTATGCAGTACTGTCAGGATATAGGGAAAGTTTCAGCAAATACAACAAAAGGTTATTTTGATAAAAGTTTATTACTGTGGCTTTAAGTGAGATCATGAGGAGGTTTACATAGAATCCACACCTTCAGCGTCATTCACTGGAAACTGTTTGTGTTGAACCTGCTTTCATGGAAAACATATGCAAGCAAGAATCCACATCATGCAAACATAAGCCTCTATTCCCAAAAGCATCTGCTCATAAGTCTGAAAAAGGTCCTGCAGGCCGGGGTCGGCTCTCTACCAACTGCAGTGTGTAATTGTAACATCCTGCTGCCAGACATTTTGGCAACGCTGCAAAAGCCTGACTCATGGCTTCTCCCTAATGCAGCCCCCACCCCGACACCACACCACACCACGCACATCTGGCTCTATGTGTCTCCTTCCACGCCTCGCAGAGTTCTCAGACGTGAAGATGGAAAAGGAGCCGAAGAGGTCAGGTCACGCAGTCAATCTGTGCTCCAGAGCGTTACTGCAGAGATAGAGTGAAAGGTAGGAGGAGAGGAAGACTGAGATATCTTGCATACCAGATCTACCCTCCCTAAAGTACGCTCTTCTTCCTCCTGAGGACTGTTGTCATAAGGTCAGTTTGCTAAATGAAAAAAGTAACAATAATAATGTGATTAGTTTGAAACATCATTTCTTTATTGGCTGACTGTCTTGTGACCAAAACTAATGATTAACCTTCGACTTCAGTGTGTTCGTCTGCCAGAATTATAGAGGCGTTAGCACACAGCTGTCATCTGAATACATATTCCCACCCTGGTTTAACCGAAACACAAACATACATTTGTAAAGTCATCGCCTTTTGCAGAGTCTGTGTTTCCTATTGCCAGTTTCCAGGAAGGAATGATGCAATGGCACTAACAGCAGGGAAAATGCAAACATTTGAGTTTGGGAATTGGCTGGAAAGTTCACTATATCAGACAGATAATCTGAATTTATCAGGTTCCTCTGGCTCCTTCTGGTGCTCCTAATGAAAGAACGAAAACAACCAATCAGAGCCAAGAAAGACAGAAAGGCACTTTGGGTTGATGGCTTGAAGATAGTCGATTGTTGAGTCTCTCTAACAGCGTCGGTATTCGACAACCCGGGAATGTCTTTCTCAGCTCTGATTGGTCCTTTTGGTTCAGGCCTGGTGGATTTTTGATGATTAAGTTTCCCTATAAGTAGTATCAAATCACATGTGTCCTTTCCAGGAACCTTCCTAAAGAATCTAGTTACTTCCTGGTAAATAATACCAAACAATGGGACCTGTAGGTTTCAGTGGCAAACTGAAAAAAAAAAAAAAAAATCACAAAACACACAGAGATAAAATCACAGCTTCCTTTTATAAAGATTTTTAAAAATCAGTCAGAAATTGCACTATAAAGGTCTCCCCTTCCTCTGTTACACTTCAAAAAAATATGATGCAGCGTTTCAGATGACTGGATGACTTTGTTTGAATATGTATTGATTTGGTAATATACAAAAAGTGAATTTTAAATACACATATTCCCTGATTTGCAGTGCGTCTTTGGTTTCTTTCCTGTTCCCTCCGTCTCAGACCTACAGTGTTGTCAGTACAATAAAAATCCATATTATCCGTTTCAGTCAGTAAATCCACGTAATTGAGGATGTGATGCCTCAGTCCAGTTTTGGATGAGTGGCAACAAGAAATCTTAAATTAACTTTGACCCTTCATTGCCGCAGCTCAGAGACGAGTCCAGGTGAATGAGCGGATCCCGAAAGTCCGAGAGTCCTCTGCGAACTTCCAGAAATCCAAACAGAGTGGAAAGGCCACGGACTTCCCTGTTAGTGTTGTTGTGGAAACGGCCTGACACACCTCAGAAATGTCCACCTCGGTCACAATGCATCATCCAAACTACTGTTTCACATTAAAGGCACTCAGAGTCCAGCAGAGCTCACACAGTATTCTTATTATCACAGTGTGGCACCTTGTAACAAAAAAAGGACGATTGCTTACAAAAAAACTTACAGAAAGAACAAAGAAATAATAAGTTAAGTCCCTTAAATTCAAATATTTGTCACACTCAGTGGGGTTTTTGTTTCCTTCCACAGTAAAATACACAGACAGACTCGTAGAGAGAACATAATCTGAGTAAATGTCAGAATAGACCTCGGCCACTGCCAGCAGTGCTCTGACCGTCTATTTAGGGCGAGGAGACAGGATATTTTGAGCAACTCAATTGCAGTCTTGTCAACATACTAACAAGAAACTGCACTTCAACGCAGCCAGAGACTGACTGTATGATACGCTCTGAAGTCAGCCCAGTAAGCGTGGTCTGCAGGTCAGAACAACTAAACTGGGAGAAAATGGGTGAAGGGTAACTTTCGTTTGTAACAGTTATCTGAAACAACACTTTGATATGTCGTAATCTTGTGGACAGCACGCCACACTAACAGCTCAAATTTTATATGGATCAAAAGTCAAGTTTGTTTTTGTCTCTCTGTAGTCATAGAAACAAAGGAATTGGTCAATATAAATCAATAAAAATCTTCCAGCTATGACAGGTGATCTACCTGAACTGACTCTCACTTCAGAGAACAGGTTAACGGATTTCCCAACACGTTTTCCTTTAACTCGTCTGTCTTTGTATCTGTTGTTTGAAACCTAAATGTGACGGACACAAAGCGAGAAAAACAAGAAGACAATTATGGAACTATCTCAAATGATGGACATGTCAACAAACTGACTTCCCTCCGCTCAGTTAAGGCACTGTGGTGCTTTCAGCTACAGTGATGCTGCGTTCACACAGTATCAGCACAATGGGAGGAACTGGAACATCCCGTGGCAGCGTTCATGCAATATGATTCTCCATCCTAGTAACAAACTTATTTGAACCCAAACAAACCCAACCCAGTAGTTTTGATGCCTAACCCTAACCAAACTGTACATCAGCCACGTTTCTTATTGTTAGATTGATTGAACTACGGTCACTTCATCCTTTCCTGCATGTCCTAAAATATTAAACTAATAGGGCAAAAACCTTCACCTTCTGTTTACTTTCAGAAAAATAAGGTTTTTTCAGAATAATAAAAAAAACAATCAGCTTTCAGTCCAATGGGACTTTTTCTGGACTTTAGGAAAAATGGGCCGTCCCCATTTTTTAATGGTTCGTTACCCGAAATAGTTGGTTTTTCTTCACTCGTAAATATTGTTTGCTTTGAGTTCAATGCTATAATGCTCACAATGACAGCGCTAACATGCTGGTGTTTAGCAGGTGAAATATTTACTGTATTCACCACCTTAGCTTCGTGTGTTAGCATGCTAGCGTCTGCTTATTAGCAAAACAGCAGAGGCTGATGGGAATGTTGTTAATTTGGTTTGTTATATAAAATATATAAAAATATTATAAAATAAAAGACAAATTAAAATTCTGACCTGCTGAAAGAGCTAAACAAAAAATCCACCCAATAATTCTTAA